ACTTAAGCAGAATACGCTGACGTAAGTTAAGCAGCTCGGACTTAATAGCGTCAGCCATAAATATTACCTGATAAAGGCTTGCACCCACTTGGTTGTGTTTCGAAGTGTGTTAAATACACCTGTCGTTTAAGGAGATATTGTAATGTTATTCTTATTCTTGTGTATTTTCAATAAAAGGTTGTTACTTGTAGAATAAGAACAAAACCAAAACTGACATAATATTATTTGTCATTATATTTTCAACTGTATTGCAAATAAATAAAATGAGTATAATAGATTGACAATTATAATTGGCGAATATTTTTGGAAGAGTCTTTTGAATTCTATTACAAACGTAATCGTTGATGCCGGGGTTGCAAGTAAAGCACAATAAGCCTTACTATACCTTCTTCCTAGAGCAGGAGAAGATATGGGGTGGTTTTTAGTCAGTAAGAGTCTCCAATCCCTGTCGCTTCACCTCTCTCGCTGGGCGAGGGAAGTCGTTTAATGATTGATGATTTTCTTCCCTCAAAAATAGCCTTATCGCTGGTAATATGCATATTTAGGTCTGGCCAAGGATATCAAAGTGTGATAAAAGCTAAGTTTAAAAATCAAAATTAAGTTAATTGAATAATTTAAAAACAACTGACGTCGCATAAACATAGCTACAATTGTTCTTCCTGTTTCACTTAACTCTTTTTCGAAAATGTGCATAGTTAAATAAGTTTTATAAGAACATGATAATTATTTCGTACGAATACCAAGTTTTATTAAAATTGGTTAGCATAATAGTTAATGTAAAAGTTGGTATGGACCGACGTATATTCTCTTAAGTGAATGCACACCTTTATACATAAATAACCAAATTACATAAAACATTTTAAGAAGAATTTTAGTATTTTGAAATACTTATGTTTCGTGTGAATTCATTTTGCAATTTTGTGCAAGGTTAATAGATGAGGTCAATCAATTTGTTTCGGTTTGCAGTGTGTGTAACTGTTCACGGTTAACACCGAATTCAATAGAGCTTTGGGCAATCAAACTTAATGATTGTTTGATATCAAAGAAAATTTTAATTTTAGTTATTTGGCTAGTAAGGCGATGTACTAGCTGCGACTTTTCTGGAGATTAAGAAAATAAGAATCATCATTGTCATTAAATAATGGTAACACTAATTGGTATGGAATCCAAGTTCTCTAAGCTCTTTTATGGGGGCCTGGTGGCACCGTAGTGGTCTGGTAACCCCGCGGGTTTTATCTAGCTCTTACCAATGAGTTTTTTTTTTTTCAACAAGATTACAAACTATTGATTAACGGTGCAGAAAAACACTTGAGTTACAAAATCTTATAAGTGTAGGTAACAGTTTTATATTTGCTTATGACAGTTTTTTACGTATCTTTTAGTAAAGTCGATCTATTGGCATTTTTCGAAACACCTCACTTGAACTAACAAAGTTGCTAACTCAAAAAACATATCGGAATGCAAAACTCGCGTTATTGAACAAGTCTAAGAACAACAAAAAGGATGTCTTTCTAGTAATTTTCTTCACTTTAAACATTAAATTATAAATGTTGTAATCTAAGAAATGTTGCAAGCTTGGAAAACTGCTAGACTGTGAGGTCTTAGGGCGTAATGACGCAATGGCCACCTGGAGAAATTATGACGTAACCGATGGAAAATATTGTGTCTGTTTAGTCAATGTTGATGAGAGATAAAACCGTTGATTTATTTCTTTATAACTTCCGATTTCTTACGGAAAACGAAAGTGATTTGTCTAATGTTGACCCTGTGATGCACATAAATTATGTTTCTGCCACCTACTTGCTTCTTTAACACATGGCTCCTCTAACAGCGGAGGCAGTAACATTTATGTATTTAGTTTGTTTTATTGCCCTTACAAATATGTGGGACTGGATAACATAAATCACAATTAGATCCTATCAATATATTGCTTCGTTTTAACGTCGACATTTTTGGACTAAAAAGCAAACACAATAATTATGACAGTCATGCAAAGATGTGAACAGTTTGTCTTAGCAACTGCAGTTATGGGTACAACCTAATACCAAAGAGTGGATTGATATTAGGTAATTTGTTGTATCGCCTCGTATATTTCCGGTTTTAATTTGAAATCATTGATACCAAAGTTCTGGTGTAAGTTCATTATTGGAATTATTCAATTATTTTAGCGCAAGTACTTAAAACCTTGAGACCAATGAATTTTAATTTTGCGATTTACAACTAAGGATCAACCAAAAGTTTTTCAACTCTTGTTTAACTTCATAATATCTACAAAAATTTCTTAAATTATTTATTCCAACTAAACCATAAATAGGTACTTTTGAAACGTTAAAATAGAATAGTAGTCTGTCTGTCTGTTCGTCAGTAAAGCTAGGTGCTTAAACAATAAAATCCGAAATTATACACTAAGCAGTTCGTTACTTTTTCGAACACTCATTCAAAACAATTCACATACCACCTTGTAAATATAATATTGTTATTTCGTTACTACCTACTACTACATTACATAAAAATATTTGTCATACCGGAAAAAATACCAATTTTATTATAGTAACACCGAAATCGGTAATAAACCTCTTTTTTATTTTGGCAACACAAAAGTGTTACACGCTAAAGTCTGTTATGATGAGGTTGCATATCTTGTACCAGTGAGTGACGTAATTAGTCTGTCTGTGTGTATGTCAGCTGGTCAGTTCTGTGACATAACTGTATTTACTGTTTTCCGTACATTTACATCGAATGGACAGTAAACGAGTTATCGAATATTGGAATTAACGGGGTGTAATATAAGGGTAATGTTTATATTTATACGAATATTTTCTGTAATACTACAAAGTCCAGATTTATAAACCACTAGCTACGTCCTTGTGGAATGTTTATAAAAAGCATCTATCTAAAAACCAAATTTCAACAAAATAGGTCCAATCATTTTCGCGTGATGGAATAAAACAAATTTTCGCATTTAGGGCTGATTTTTCAATGGTTAGATAAAAGTTACCTGGGGAATAATTATGATGTCGCGTCAGTTTTTTTATATAAGACAGTGACAGCAATAATTTTATTCCTCAGATAACATTTATCTGACTATTGAAAAATCAGCCATTATAATATTAGTAGGATTTTCTCGGTAGTCCTCTTTTATTTTGCAACCTCTCAGTAAGGCACGCAGCAACCCGTTCGGTTTTTGAAATTGAAAAAATAAACATCTGTAAATGATAACCGTAATAATTCTCGACACCGTTATTCCAATTTTATTTACCAAGGAGTTATAATTTAAAGTAAGCATGACTTGCAATAAACTAAACATATGATAAACTGAAAATTATATATTATTCGCTGATCTTAATGAGAGAAACACGCGAGGTGGAATTTGCATTTACTCGACCTTTTTTGGGTCAACCTGTTTCGGTAACCTTAAGAAGGCGCTTATCCTTTTAGGGAAAAATACTGGACAGTTTGGAATTTGAATTCTGAATTCTGAATTTCTCATTTCAATCTCCTCAGAAGCTATCAACACCACCTGTAAAAGACACCGCACTTTGTCAACACCCCAAACTACTCAACTCAAACTAGCAAAAAACAACTCAATTTCTTATTGTTGTCATATTTGTCAATATTATTTGTGACCGCCATACCAAGTCAGTCTCTTGTCAACTTTATAAATATATACTATATGCATATCTTGTTATATAACTATTAAACAGTTTGATACATACTTTGGGCGTATACAGATGGAGCATCGTTTGCAATTGGTTGCGTCATTTATACTCACTACGCCACTAATATGTACTGGTGGTCAGAAAAGTGTTACTTACAAGGTTTTAATTCATTAATGTTGTAAGTGTGGCAGAGCCATGCTTCTCGACAATGGAGTGATACAACGGCCTCACAGAAAACCAGCGTGGAACAACCACAAGGTGTTTGTCTAGACAAAAAAAGAAACAAATATTAATTAAAATGACTTCTAAACACTATCGGCATTCCTTGTTATTATAAAACTTGGCAAATGGACAAAGACCTATGTGCAGCTGGGATTACAGGGCAAGGTACCGTTGCCTCAGCCTAGAACAGGAGAAGAAACGTGGTGGTTTTTAGTCAGTAACATAGTCTGACACTTCCTCTAGCCTCACCCTGGGCGACAAAAGTCATTCGATGCTTTCCCATCACAAAAATAGCAGTTATAAAACTTGTGTGATCGTCTGTACTAGTCAGCCAATAGGAAGTTACGTAAACATTTGACTATTTGTAGCGTAAAACGTGTGAATTTGTCAGCACTTGACAGTTTGACGATAGACTTGCGTTTTGTCTCTGTATTTGATGTATTGCAAGAGTGCTATATGGCACCTAGATGTTAATGGGTTACTAGGACTGCTGTTTTATCACTGTTAGAAATTGCTTTAATTAAAATTTATTTTCAAACATTTGGAAACTCAATTAATCGATACTGTGTTTTTTTTTTAATTTCTTTTATTGTTATCACCACCACAAGACAATACATATTATTATAGTAGTCTAAAATAAGATTAAAATTTTATATTAGAGAATTGAACACATTTTAATAAAGCGATATCTGTGGAAAAAATACCGCACTTTTAACATTTCTTTCTTAGTGAAAGTAACAACAGCTACCTTCCCTATGTCATGGTTCGCCTATTAAATAATAGATGGCGTTCTTCTCAAATATCTGAAAGCGTACTTGTAACTTTTTCGGCGGCAATTCAGTATTATAAAAAACATAAAATACGCAAATATTCAGAGATATAAATAATTAAATACGATCATAAAATCACGTTTTACAACGATAACAAACAAGAACAAATTCGACACCTGGAAAATAGTCATAAATATTATTAATTTTGTTTTCATCTTATTCAAATACTCAATGACTCAAGAGTCAGTGTATATGATTCTTTTTACTATTCTCTTCTATGGATACACCCTTCATCAAGAACTAATTGTTTATTAACAATTCGCAATAAAATCCCTCTCTTCTTCCACAGAGTTACAAAGAAAAAGACGCGGGCAAGGTGGTAGTCTACACGACGACGATGGGCATCGTCAGGAGTACCTACCAACGCTGTGTCCTTGTGAAGAAGATCCTCAGGAACTTACTGGTGAAGTACGAAGAACGGGATGTCTTCATGAGCACGGAGTACCAGGACGAGATCCGGGACAGGATGAGGAGCGACCAGATCTTAGTCCCGCAGCTGTTCCTCGATGGACAGCATATTGGGGTGAGTTTCTTCCTATCGAGTTTGAATAATGGACAGCAAATTCTGAATTATATTTGGTCAAGGAAATACAACCGGAATGATACCATGTCCTAAGAGGAAACCGACGTGAAATAACCATCATTAATATTAGGGAAATCACCAAAGTCCAAATCCTCCACTTATCCCATCTCTCCCCAATCTCCAATCCCCAAATCTCTGAAATCCTAATCCCCAAAATGTCGGCAACGCACTCGTAATTTCTGTGGTGATGCGGGTGTACATGGCGCCGACTGCTTACCATCCGAGTGTTTAGGTATCTACCGACCAATCACATCATGTCATAAAAAATAACTCTTACTGGTATTTGGGCTCAATTTGTAAAAAAACAACGTTTTATGTCATAGAACTAACACTTATACTAATGTACTTCACATTTTATTAGGAAAAGTATTAAGCTATTAAATTAACACGAATAATATCAAAGTTCCAAACAATTTCCAAATCGGTGATACCTTGACAGTTTTCCGATGAACACCGAAATAACTGTTCAAGGATTTACACAACTCAGGTTCCCTAAAATTCCAATACAATACAATACAAAGCCATACAATACAATACAGATTTGTCCTCCAAAACAATACAATAATAGGATTAATAAGATTTCTTGAGACATTTCAAGGCCATTTGTTTTAATCCAGGACGCAGTATTATGTAATATACATTATTCGGTTTTGATCTGTCTAATCTGTTATTGTATAAATTAAACTTGTTTCTAATAACAAGATTTATATTTTAAGGTTTCGATGACATTGTCAGGGAGATACTTAAGAGGCCTTTGCTCAGCAGTGGGCACTTATGGGCTGATGATGTGAAGAGGGAGTGTCAGACTCTTACTGACTAAAAACGACCCCCTTTCTTCTCCTTGCACTTGAGATTGGGGAAGGATTGGGCCTCCGGTAACCTCGCTCACACGGCGAAACACAACGCAGTGGTTATTTCACGCCAGTTTTCTGTGAGGCCGTGGTATCACTCCGGTGGAGCCGACCCATTCGTGCCGAAGCGTAGCTCTCCCACGCTTAAACGCATTCTCAACAATGGCTGACATTTTCATACCTGCTTGCTAAATACATGTGCAGACTGGACATCAAACTCCTCAGACAACCTAAAGATATTCGGTCCTACAAAATATCAGTTAGTTACCTCCTGTCTCGTAATTTATATGAACATATTACTCACTTACTCGCAATTAACGTTATTGTATAAAAAATGAGTCCGCTCATAAACCGGAGCTATCACATTAACTTAGGGCTGACACACGTTACTACTTTTATTATTATTATTCTTTACTATTATTGAAACAAAAATGACAGCCCTGTGATTGAATACAACATGGATGATTGTTATTTAATAAAAAAATATAACTAAAAAAACTTGTAATTCCCAATTATATTGGCCATGTTTCAAATTAATTTACAAATCATGTTCTTATTGAACTACCGAAAAAGGAGACTGAATAGCAAATGACTATACTGTTTTGAAAACTGGGTATTTTCCAGTTGTTCTTAAATATTATTAAATTATTAAAAATCAGTAAAAAAATATTATTTCCTCAAATAACAAAATAAATAACAGTTCATTAAAATTACAATAAATTAGTAGATTTAATTTTACGCCTAGTTAGAAGTAAGTAAATATCAATTTTGTCTTACTTGGTAAGCCTAAATAAATAAATAAATAAAATTTTAGGCGAAAAATATGACGTTAAATTCAAAGAAATGTATGTATAAATTTTGGACCATTCAAAAATGTACTAAATTTTTCATTTTCTAATTATTATTATCCCTAATTAAGCAGATTTTTTCGGACATATGTACGAAAAAAATCTGCGATAGATATGTCCGACACATCTAGACGATACATAGTATAACTAATGTTACAATTATATTTCTTTGACTTTAATAAAATAAAGATTAAAAAAAAAAAATATATTTCTTTGACACTTACTCGATATAAAGAACAAACATCATATCAAACCTTTCCTACAGCAAATCCTAATATAAAAGAGAAATCTTTGAGAAATAATTTCTACAACACAATGTTTCGGTGCGTTCAACCCTAACGAGACTTGGTTAAAGTCATAACCGCAGGTAGGATATTCCAGCATCCATTGCGCTCCCAACTTTATTGCAACCCTCTGTACCGTCGTCTGACGAACTCTTGTACAATACAACATTTATATGTATAGATACAATTTATACATATCTTTGTTTGGTTTCACTGCAATCGCATATGTTGTTACTTTTTGATTTATAGATAAATTTGTAAATATTTCGATATCTTGTTTCCGACATCAGGCTCGATTAATTAATATTTTTTTTTATTGTATAAGTCGGCAAACGAGCAGATGGATTACCTGATGGTAAGCAATCGGCGCCGCTCATGGACTCCCGCAACACCAAAAGAGTAACGAAGTCGCTGCCGGCCTTTTAGGGATAGGGGTTGCGGATATCAGGATCGGGAAGGGGAGGGATTGAGCCTCCGGTAGCCTCACTCACACGACGAAACACAACGCTGTGGGTTGTTTCACGCCAGTATTCTGTGAGGCCGTGGTATCACTCCGGTCGAGCCGACCCATTCGTGTCGAAGCTTGGCTCTCCCACACTTATATACATAGGTAACTAGCAACCCGCCCCGACTTCGAACGTCTGCAAAGCTGATACTAAGTTTCTCCACCTAGAAAACTTATTTTTCAATCACTGTATCTATTAAAAACCGCATCAAAATTCGTTGTGCAGTTTTAAAGATTAAAGCATAAATATCAATGTAGGGACTGAAAAAGCGACTTTGTTTTATACTACCTATGTATGTAATGATTAGTAAAGAAAATTTTATATTATGTAGGTACGTATTCGAAAATAAGTGACGACGGTAGAATGGAATAACATTTAACACCAAACCCAGCTACGCCTCTAATCTTGTTTCAGATTTCTTTTTTTATGATTTATAGTGGAAAACTTTCATACTGACATCTCCAAAATCGACAAAGTTACCAGCGCGTTGCTAACCCTTTGGGAGAGTGCGGGGTTTCAACTCGGGTTGGCCGTGACACGTGCCAAAACATGTCTCAGAATGTAAAATTAAACTTAGATACTACACATTTTAGCTATTAAGCAAATTAAAAGTATTATTAAAAAAATCCTTTCAAAATAATTGATTTACCCGATCAATCGCAAATCCACAAAATCTGTCGGTTGCCCCTGTACTGATCGGTTTTGTGGTACGCTTCATTCTACCGTTGCAATGGACGGGAATGCTAAAAGGAACCAATAATATATTAATTACTTCGTGGCTATAATTATTGTTACCCATTTTCAAACTTTAAAAGTCCTGGCCAAAACAACATTATCGATTTTGTATCTTAATTATGCTCCCTAGGTTCAGTGAACATAGTTCAAACTGTATGGACCATGCTAAGTGACTCCTGAAACTCCTGTACTTAACGGTTGGGGTCAAAAAATCTAGAACTCTAAATTGTTCAATACTTTTCTATATTCCTTTCTAATTTTTAACTCCACTATCATCCATTTCATCATCTCATTGACAATAATTTGAACAACTCACACAAATGGAATTTATATGCAAAATAAAATTTTCAATATTATTTTCTTAGTAAAATTAAATAATTTAATATCATCTGGAAGATATCCTGCAATATTACTATTGAAGTAATAACAATGCTAATTTGTGGCCGACATTTTATTCTAGATTCTATTGTTATTGAATTTCAATCTGAATAGAAAAAAATTGAATGAAAACGGTCTAATTGTTTTCTGTTGGTTCTGTCTAACTATTGCAGTGGATTGCTAACGACATGCGTTTGTTAGTATTATGTTGTATGTAGTCAAACATTATTATATACCATGAAGTCTTTTGTCTCCACCACACATGAGGCCCAACTGGACCGATGTTTAGCCAGGGTTGCGGGCTATAAGGTACCGCGATTTCACCCTAAAGCAAGGGGTTTTTATTCAGTAAGAATCAGACACTTCCTCTCGTCATACCCTGGACGGGAGAAGTCATTTGAACATTTCCCTCATTATCTGCCTACGACCTCGGGGAGAAGGGCGTGAGGCATATGAAAAAACCACAGAACAGAAAACTGTATTTTTTTATTCCGTGGAAAAAACCCCTAGGAATATGACAATTCTAAAATAACTGCCAGCGATGCGCACGCTGCTGATGCCATGAATAAGAGTATCGTAAAAAAGATATTTATCAATGACACAGGTAGTTAAAACTCAACAAAAAAATAAATCAAGCACATCGGCAGCATAATGTAATTATTCTTAATCGGATTAAATGGCTACAGAAATATTTACCAAAATATAATTAAAAAAACCGACTTCAAAAACAAAAAAGTGTCAAATAAGTAATTAAAATTGATATTTTAATAGCACTCTTACGTACGCGAAGCTAATACTTTTAATATTAATAATAAAACACTATCAATTCTATGTGCTACCTGTTCATAGGTTTGAAGTCGGTGCCAAGCTTAATACATAATATAATAAGCATGATTACGTGACTACCTAAACTCGCCGGGTGCGTTTGAATTTATTTGTTAGGATTAAAGAAATTTAGTACCGATTTTCTAACTTGATGGCGTTAGCGTAGAATCAGAAGTCTATATGGTTCCGTTACCGGCGAAACTGTATATAGCTTAGAAAGATTTAAGGTACTTGGTTGTTAAAAGTAGTAGTAGGTAGCTGCGTTGTTAGTTGTGGAAATATCGTTTTTAGCAGTTAAACAGTCTTAATTCTCATTTAGTTTTATTCTGTTTAGGGCTTGGCACCGACTTCAAACCTATGAATAGGTAGCACATAGAATTGATAGTGTTTTATTATTAATATTAAAAGTATTAGCTTCGCGTACGTAAGAGTGCTATTAAAATATCAATTTTAATTACTTATTTGACACTTTTTTGTTTTTGAAGTCGGTTTTTTTAAACGTAGTTTTTTTTA